GTCCTAAGACATTGTCAGGGTTGTTCCCTGACAATGTCTTAGGACAAGCATAGAACATGGGTGATTAATTCAACAGGGCAGGTTTTAATGTACCCAAAAATGTGAAAACAAACACCTTTCACCTCATTTATGCCACCATAAATGAGCCTCTTATAGTCTGCTCTGAGATCCACATCACTCTGTCATATGATTGCTTCATCAAAATTGTAACTGTATAAAACAGGTTGGTTACATAGTGACTGTTGGGAGTCAATATGTAAGCAAGTTCCTCTGTCCTCTGGATGGAACTGGGTGAGCAGGATCTTGTCCTGTGTGTGAACAGCACTGTCCTGTTGGTAGAAACCAACCAGGCCCAAAGACAATCTAAAATTCCTTGTTTGGGGCAGAGGGCATGATTCAGTGGCCTGGACTTTATTGATCTGTGGCTTGATAACCGCCTGGCCAATGATACGGTGCAGGTATTCTGTCTGAGCAGCAGCAAAGATGCACTTTGATGGATTCATCGTCAACCCAACCGAGTGAAGGTTGTCCAGGACAATGGACGGGTTCCTTCTTCCAGTTAGTGCTGTGAGTAACAATATCATCCAAGTAAGGTGATCGCTCCACAACTCAGAACAGGATGAAGGAGGCACAAACATGAGGGAGAGTGAATGATCTGAACCTTGCTTTCAAGAAAACTCAATGGAAACAGAACAAAGCAAATCACAATTCATAATGTTTGTAAAGTAGATTGAAGACAGAGAGAGGAGAGTGTGTATATATATGTATATGTGTGTGTGTATATATATATATATATATATATATATATATATATATATATATATATATATATATATATATATATATATATAGAGAGAGAGAGAGAGAGAGAGAGACTTAATTTAGTCTTAAAGACTATAAAGACTATGGGGAAACAAAAAGCATAAAACATCAGCCTTACTGTAAATATTTCACTTTGCAAAAGTTTTTTCAGTTATTTATTTGTGTGTTGAACTGGATCAGGACTGAATGATGGGGAACCATCACAGCATGGTCTGTTTAACTTTCCCCACATAGTTTTTTGGTGAGCATGTTACGTTCAGGTGATTCTGCTTTAAGCAGCTGATCAAGTTTGGAAGAAAGCTCAGAAACATCCCAGTGTGACCAGCAGCACAAACCAACCAGGCTGCATTGAGACAGGGAAAAATATCACCCAATTTCTGTGAAACAAAACAGAATGCTGGTACAAAGAAAGGCAATTCCAAAAGTAATACATTAAACTGTTAACTTCTTTTAATATGGCACTTCAACTGGCTCATGAATTTATTGCTACTACAAAGAAAAGTTGAGATCATAGCAGAGATTACACTCACATCGTGCCACCACACTGATAAATGAAGCAATAATAAATGATGTATGGACTCCATTTATTATTATCGAATTAAGACATTTATCATTAAACAGTAAATGAATCCTTTTTCTGTCTCAGTTCTCCAGCTGTTCTAATAGGAGCAGCAGCTCAAAAGCCAAACACAATGAAAGCAGAAGAACTGATCCTTCATTAAAACTGTAAAGTTTTTTCCAGAGTTAGACATGGAAAGATGTGGCGTCTGTATCCTGCTTGATCAGGATGTTGATCAGGCAGCATCCTCTGGCCTTAAAAATCTTGAATCAACTTTTTGGTTCTAACATTCATCAACTCCTGAGACTGATGTGTTTTCTGAAGCAGCTGTGGGAATCACTATCATTTGTGAGTGTGAATGGATGAATGACTGAATGTAGTGTTAAGTTCTTTGTGCTGTACAAGTACAGGTCATTTATCACTTCACACAAACACAAGAGTCTTCTGAAAGGCTGAGAGACGTACATCTGTTGGAAAGACGGTTTTGCTGCTTAGCCACTTGGTCTGAAAACAGTGGCTGTTTGACGTCTAGAAATGTAATAGTAAGACGTAGAGCTTTTAAAAGAATGTTCACAAATGACACCACAGTTCATTGGAAGCACAATTCGCTTCCAAGAACTGTGATTTGACTGCCTTCACTCGTGTTCAGTCCATTTCTTGTCTACTTCAAAAACGTGCATTCTTTATTAAACTATACTCAACAGCTATTAATCATTTAGATATTAAATGTCGCTATGAAGCAAAATTATGTGCTACCATATAAGCACGACTGATCCTGCTGAGGTGTTGAGAGCTTCACAGTTTCTTCAGCAAATACTTTATAAATCAGCAAAAAGTTATTTTCCTCATCAGATTTATTTCACTGGGTTACATCTGTACTTGCAAACATAAACTCATAAAATCATTTGTGAACATTCATACGTTGAAAATTTTGTTGATGGTGATTCTTTGGCAAATCAATTATGACTCTGAGGTTCTTACAAGTTCTAACAGTCCTGCTATAAAACCTGAAGATCACAGTGTAGCATGCTGCATGTACACAGGAGAGAACTCTAAAAAATCTGCTTAGAGTGAATATCTATCATCTAACAGAAACCTTTAATTTTAAAGCACGCACACACACACACACACACACACACACACACACACACACACACACACACACACACACACTAAGTTAATAAGAACTCCTTGTGTCTATGGTAAATGGCAGCTTACATAATACTCCTGATATTTGCTGACTCTCATCTTTTAAAAGATCAAGGAAAACATGAGAAGTGTGTGATAGTTTATATCTTGCTTTAAAACTAAGACTTTCTCCAAACTCTTGGCCCAACATCATGGAATCAGATTTCTGTGCAGCAGGAATTTCAAACATAGATCAGTCTGAGAGAAAGAGCTCACATTGGCCCATGTTGCTAACTTATCAGTTACAGTTTTAATTGACAGAATAAGTACAGCCATTGGATATTCAACAATTACATGAGGAGAGGGAGACATGTTGGCCGCAGCATGAGTTCTACAAATGAAAAAAGCTTCCCGTTCTTATAAATTCACAATGCCACAGAGAATAAAAGTCACACTGATTAAAAGACACCCTGGAGGTGTTGTTGACTGCAGCAGCAGGAATGATACGACCTCCTGAGAGGAGCAGGCTGCTGAGGCGGCAGAGCACGAAGGGCTTTTCCAGCAAACTGGTTCCAGTACTAAATAAGAGCTAGTGCTAGCTTCAAACCCAGTATTTTTTCGGCTTAATGTTCTTAGGCTAAATGAGGAAGCAGGAAGTGATGCTACGGTCACACAAACTTCATGAAAAAGACCCTCCTCCATCAGAGGCTTGATGCAGGTTCACAGAGACCAACAACCAACTAAAACTCAGCGTCCTGAAGTGAAGAAAGGCGTCCAGAAATAAAACGTATTATTATTATTAAAAGGCTTTAAGCACTATGTTTTGGATTTACTGTGGTGTTTGTGTTAAGTTGATGAATGAAAACCGCTAAGCTTTAATGGGAACATGAAGTCGAGGCATGAGGAAGAGGAGTTAACCAGCTGTCATGCTAGACGTGGTTGCTACTCTGCTGCCATTGTTTTACCCTCGTCTGCTGACAGTTTGGATTCAGGGGAATTTCACAGTGAACTGTGTGCTGGGCCTCACCTAAACATCACAAGTTGTGTAAAGCAGCACTTCTAAATCAAATATATGACATTAAAACATGTGTGCAGAGGCAATGAGACAAACTATACTCTGTCTAGGTAAGCGGTTGCTCTGTTGAAACAGAGGATACACCAGAGAGAGGAGGAAACATCCTGGAAGACATCATAATAAGGCTGTGCCTGCTCTGCAGCTGTGAATAAAACCAGGAGTTTTTACATTTGTAATAGAATCAGATTAGAAACAGCTCTAGCACCAGCCTGCTCTAGTTCAGGAAGCATGTTAGTGGAAAAGGCCCAACGTCAGTGTTAGCTACAGCCTCAGCTCGCCCTCCACGGTTCTGCTCAGAGTTCTGTGGACTACAGCAGTAAGGGGAAACATCACAGGTCATAGTTGAACTTGTATTCATTAGCCAAGTAGATTCTGCGGAAGATGAGGGCAGCCAAGGCAAGGGTGAGAACCACGATGAGGACTGCAGAGGCTGCATGGTTGTCACGGCGAGGCGCCGGGCCAAACAGAGCTCTGCTAGCTACTGGCTCTCTGCCGGCCCTGGGGGCCTGTCGGCTGAGCTGCTGGGCCCGGCGCTGTCTGGGACTGAGCCGACGAACAGGACCGCTATCATCAGGGGCCTGGGGCTCCTCTAGATCTGCTGCTGGAGACGCTTCCGCCTGCAGGGGGACATTAAATCCTTCAGACTAAGCCTTAAGTCACATGTTATCAGATACTTTTGTCTTTTAGATGTGTTCAGGGTGTGCTAGACCAGGGTGTGTGTGGGGTTCTCCAGCTCAGAGCTCGGTTTCTATGTTTGGTTCAACCAAAGCAACATGAACTTGAGACAGTTTGTGTTCTCACTACTCCAGCAGCCCAAACCCTAATTTGGTTTCTCACAGCACTAATGTGTAGTCATTGGTAGCATCATTGGTCAGTATAATGAAAACTAAAAGCTCAATGTGAGAATCGAATCAGCACAGTGTGTGAGACGGTGCATAAACGTTTAGGATAAATTAGATCTCATTTAATTAAACCTCGCAGGATCAGACAGCAGGCTGCAATAGGAACAGGAAATCACTGCACAGACAACATGGACTTGTTTATGGGAAGTAACTGGTGGAGGAAGCTGGAGGTTAGTCCAGCAGGCCAGGCAGTATGCTGTGATCCATCTTTTTAGAGTTTTAGCTTCAACTTCAGAAACAGATGGTATGGACTATTTTAGCTCTGCTTGGTTTATTTAAACACAGGATACTAATCTAAGTTGACCCTCTCCTCTGCTCCTTCAGAATCAGTCTCAGTGGTTCCCTGGATAGCATCTGGCACCAAAATCAATCCTCTTAGGCAACACAGCTTGCTGATATTTTCAGATCTGCTGAAGAGAAGCTGTGGAAATAAAAGCTGAAAGCCACAGAGCTTGTCTGCTCTTACACTGACAGAGAGCTAATGTCTGACTGCAGAACTAAAATCACCAACTATGGGCAACAGCTTAGCAGCTGAAGCAGGCATGAAGAAAAAACATTAATGTAAGAATCTGTATCCTCTTTTGTCTGATTTCCATCTTTTCTGGATTCTGGGGTTTAGTTTTCTGAAAGCCAGAATAATCAAAATGACAAGAAATAAAAGCTTGAAATATTTTAATCTGAGATGAATCTATTGAATGAAATGAATGAAGAAAAAAATATTGAACTTTTCTTCTTTTTTAATTTTTTTAAATGTATATCAGTATAATATCTGCTGTTCTGACTGCTGCTAATCACAGAAATATCAGCTCAGGTGTCTTTATGACCTGAGCTGTATGGGGTCTGTGTTGAAGCCCACCCATACTGGACTTATATAGCAGAGAGGGAACACAAGGAACAAAGGTCAGACAGAGACCAGACGGAGCCTCACAGCAAAAATGGTGGGAAGACAGACAGATGTTCAAAACCTGCTTTTATTAGCTAAAAAAACAAATGTAAGTAGATTTTCAGAATTTACCCAAACCAGCCTCGATGAGCAGTTAAAAAATATATTTCTGAGTATTTTGGGTCCTTTTATGAAAACTCTAATTTCAACCTGAAAAGTGTCACTGGAAGAGTGTGTACAGATTAAAAAGAAGTTTGCCTTACAGTGATTTCTGAAATCCAAATAAAACCTGAGAGAGAGCATAGTTATGTGGCTCTCAGTGTGTCCCACATGACACGGCGCCACCTACCTGTTCAGCCTGGGGCCTTTCCTCAGCCTGCTGCTCCAAAGAGCTGGAGGTTTCTCCAGTCGAAGCTTTACTTCCACTTGTAGAAGCCTGTGGTATTATACTGGATTCTGCCTGTATGTACACACAGGAAACTGCAGTCATCAGCATGGTGCGTTAGACCAAATCATTCAGATGTAGATCTTTATCATGACAGATATCACAGTTACAATTTTTGTTGGCCTAGATCCTTACTCACCTACTGAAAGTGTGTCCAGCAACTGAAGGTAAAATAAATCAGAAATTTCTCTTTATTAGGATATGTGAAGGGATCCAATTGAACAATAGAGGAAAAATCTGTATCTGAAGCCTTCCACTGCAACATTCAAGGCAGTATTAATTACTAGCACTGCTTAAGTGTTAATGATAAATGATAGGACATGAGAATTAAATTCATAGTTATATCTTTAATCAGTTTTGTAAGCAACAGACTGAGCTGTCCAGGCTAGAATGATGTCTTCATTTGTCTTCATTCATACTCTGGTTAGTGGGTCATAGATGTCAATCAAACTTCAAGAAAATGTAAACTTCTTACAGCCTGAACCTTCCAGTAGTGATGCCTTCCAGACAAGCTATGTGTTAAGAAAAACAAAAACAGCTAATTAAACACTAATAGATAAATGGTGAGTGGGAATATCATACTTGTATGATATTATGTAAGATATTATATATGATATTATGTATAATACAACTGCAGAGTTGTAATCTTTTGATCACAGTGGATCCCTGCCTGTTCCCGGTTCAGTTTTCACAGATGCTTTTTATAGTTTGTGAAACTGAAATACCTAGGCAAAATGCTACTTCACATGGCTTAATAGTTGACGTTTCCAAAGCAGCCAATCCAGGAGCTCCTTTCACTTTCCTTGGCACCGATTGGCAGCAGCCCAAAGAGTAGAGATGTGAAGGATCCTGGATGTTAGCTTCTTCAGTAGTGCAAGCCCGTTTATCCACAGTTAGTGTGCTAGGTACAATTAAAGTGCATTTGGTATTTAAGTGATAAAATAAACTGCTATGTGTTTTTTAGAGGGTATAAAGTATTCAGGGATTTCAGCTTTTCACAGGTTCATCACAAGGTTAGCTTGTATAACTTGTGCACCAGGTTCTGTTTAGTGTGATGTAACACTTTCAACAAGCAATTCTGTTCATAGAAATTCATTTCTATAAGTAGGTCTCTGAACAGTACTAATACATTTCTGATCATTTGACATTTTATTGAAAGACTAAATCAAGGGTCACATTAATCAAATATTTTCTGCCTTTGAGATCTCTATCTATCTATCTATCTATCTATCTATCTATCTATCTATCTATCTATCTATCTATCTATCTATCTATCTATCTATCTATTGATAGATAGATAGATAGATAGATAGATAGATAGACAGACAGACACAGAGAGAGAGAGATCCAGTATAATTAATGTCAATCAATTATACTGGATGACATCATCAAGGAAGAATACTTCCCACCAAAAATGGAGTTTGTACCTTGAATTTGATTTGCTGTGCTAGTTCTTTGGCCTGGCGATCCTCAGCACTGGGGTTGCTGTTGGAGGTCAGAGGCAGGAGGGCAGATCGCATCGTACAGCCACAAGCTTCACAGCAGAAGTCCTGGGACCTGGGAACCAACATGGATCAGCATCGTGTCTCAAAGACATCTTCAGTTTTGCAGCTCACAATTTCATACAATGATAAAGTCACCTGTGATAACATCAAACCATTAATGAGGCATCTTTACATCAAGACATATGGATAAATTGACTTATAAACACTAAGGACCTTAAAAACATTGCTTTTAGATACCTATGTTTTTTTTTTATTCTATTATTTAAACAAAGCATACACTGAAATCAAATATGTTGCATATTGACAAGTTGCTAACATATTTCTGAATGTTTCAAAGCCTTTCACACAATGACTTGTATAAGTCAGCAGCTAGCTGCTGACATTTGCAAATAAACTGCAAACAACTTTATCACAACAGAAGAGAAGCTATCTAGCTTTTCAGCTTCTTAAAGTGAAACCAAGAACATTTGGTTTTTCAACATATTTACAGACATATCATGTAAATATGTTGAAAAACCAAATGTTCTTGGTTTTTCAACATCTTTCTGTTTGTGTTGTGGTGAAAAAAATAGCAGTAGAAAGATCTTTAACACTCAACTATCACTCCTAACTCATAGCACAGCAAACACAAGCTGCAATACAACATAGGAAATGAGTGAAATGATTCTAAAAAAGATCTTACTTTTTAGCGAGGGTCTTTCTCTCTTCTGGGGTGTAATCCAGAGATCCTATTGCACCTTCACCTTTAGTTGGCATGAATCCAATTATAGCTATTAGAGCAGTTCGAACTGCAAGACAAAAACAGAACAAATAAAAATATGAAAAAAGAAACAAAGAATCATAAGTGAAGGCAATTTAGCAATGTAATAAAATAGGTAGATTTACATTGTATCACTGTTTACACGTGTTTAACAACCTTCTTACACAGCAGATCTGAAACTTTGTCTATGTGAACATGCAGAAAGGACCTGTTGTCAGACATATTTTACAGATTCACATTTTCTTGATTTTATGAAGAATCCTTCTTTGTACCAAGATCTTCAGATGTTCCAGAGTATTCTCCAGAACATAAACACCCTTCTTAATCAGGTTGTTCAGCCTTTTTTTATTTACTAATTATTCTTATTTATTGTTTGGTTTTTAGTTGAAGTATGTTGTAAAGATGATTTATGCCAAATGTCAAGGGCATCTCTCAATCTTTAAGGTGATGGCCTTCTTCAATCTTGGCGATTATTAGTACATTTTTAAAATAGTACTGTTGCTGAAAATATCTGTGAACAATTGAATTTAAAAAGTCATGTCAAATTCAAGCCTACAGTTGTTGGGGCACAAGAAATAAGAAACATAAACTAGAATATGTTTTACTGAGAATGTGGAAAACAATCTGGAGATGCACCTGTCCAATATTAACATCTGTATCACTACTCATATTGAAACCGCAGGTATCTTTATCGGTATGGAAAGGGAAAACAGTGGATTGGAACAATAGTAATTGGTTAATACTTACTGCTCCAAGAAGGCTGCCAAGTCTCTGGGTGGTGACCTGAGATGCTCAGACAAATCTTCTTCCCAACTTCAAATCTCCCATTTGGCTGTGAGGGAGAAAAAGACAATTGACTGGATATGGCACAGACAACAAATGATCCGAAGTTTTTACAGACAGGCTGAGGCTGGAAAACCTGAGAACAAAACATACTAATTTAAATGTTTTCTGACATGCAATAAAAATAAAATACATAAAATATGACAGAGAGAAAAACTGCATAAGAAATGGACATTCAAAATCCTTTGGAATAATCTTACTTACATGGTTATTATAGCAGGTGTGTTACTGTAAATTAATCTCATTCTCTCAGAAACAGTGCAGGCCCTGCAGTAAATAAACAATCAGGACTTGATTTTGAACATGACACCTTCTATGGCCTCAGGTTCAATAAAATGCCACTAAGGCTAAAATTGGAGTCTAATCTAATATGTTCCTGTTCTGCTTCAGGAGAAGGGACTAAAACATGGGCTTTTTCTCCATCTTACTGTTAGCAGGATGATGCTGGGAGGCTTCATGGGGTATTCTGGGGGAAGCACAATCCTGCCATGGTACACCCCACCATCAAAATCAGAATCTGGAGGCCCGCGTACAGAAAAGTGCCATTCAAAGAGGTTGTCCTGGAGAAACAAAACAATGTCACAATTAGTGCAGACTAGAATGTGTGAATACATACAGGAACATGCACTGACTGGAGGTGACAGCTGACGGCAATGTAACAGCGGTCTGTTGTATTAAGTAACGACGAGAAAAAAAAACTTCCTGAGGTAAAAACCTGATGTTATTGAAGTTGTGAGAATCTGACTGAATCTTTGATCAGATGATGATATGGTCAACATTTGTTCTAAATTCTTTTCAGGATTTCCCTTTTAGTAGTTTCACATCCTGTTTCTTTGATCGTGTCTTCTGTCTTTATTGAAATGGTCAAACATAGAAGTGCAATAATAAGAGGTCAATAAGCCATGTAGAAGAGAATTTACCCTTCAGAATTGTACTCTAGATTAAACTGTGATAGATTTGAGACTGTTACGAGAATCATCACTTAATTAGACTGATGCTAGTTCTAATATCTAACTATGATTAATTGGTTTATTACTTACAACTGTTGATTCACCAGTTTTGAGGCCATCAGTTTTAAAAGGTTCACTATGTCTTGAACAACAAATACTGACTTTTGATCTTTTCTCCTCCTTTTACATTATTACTTTACAATTCTTGTCTTGAACATGCAGCAATTTACACTCAACTGTTTACCATTTCATTATTCCATGGCTCCCACTAATATAATGCCTAACCCTGGCTTGCTTCTACAGGTACAATGGGCTCAGTAAAGATCCACCCTGTCAACCTGTAGAGTTTTAAAAGGTCTGCTGACCATCTGGGTGAGACTGTTTTCAACGTACGTCCAGTGGTTGGGCGTGGTAGTGCTCTGTCGGATCCCTCAGTTCTGCAGCTTCCTTCATTAGCCTCTTCACCGCTACGACAGGGACAGTGAAAGGAAGAGTTAGCGACCAAGTAGATGGCATCAGCTCCCGTTCCTCTCAGCTACTACTGATCTTCTGCGCTTCCAGAAGGAAACCAGCACTTCTTCAAACTGTTGCAGTTATTTCAGCTGAGAATCAGAAAAGCCAACACCCAAGTATATTCCAATGAAAAATTACCTTCTGTACAAATTACCAGCTTAAAGCTCTTATTAGCATTTATACTGAGAAAATGTGGGAAACGTCTGGGACGTGGATGGACTGTGTCATATCATTCATGGAATATGAATCTGGATCAGATGGTTACACATGGAGACATTTCATTATTTTACACAGAAAAATTAAAGGTGTCCTAGAATGAAAAATGTAAGATATTCAGTATTTTTCTTATAATACAATATATTTTTATTTTCTTTAATAGTAACTAGGACCATGTCTATCCTGTGACTTTTCATCAAAAGCACACTTGAGGTCTGTTAAACTTTGCTGTTTATATATGTGAAGGCTGAATTGAGTAATATTCCCTTTTGGTATGCATGAAACAATTGTAAATATACTTTTACTGCAGTATTATTAAGGCAAAGTACACAGTCAGAGCTAAAGCCTTCATATAAGTAAGATAAACTAAGCTTTAACTTGAATTTCAGTCGATAACCATAAAGATTTGCAAATTGAATTTCCATAGAATCCCAGCTCTGAGTTCAAGGTATCAGCACTTGGTCTGAAATATACACCTCTGCTGCTTCAGTCTAACTACAGCAAACATCAGCATCCTAGGAAGGTTACACAAGTCCTGCAGAGGACGATGAGGATTATAGCTATCTGAAAGGGTGGGGTTACTTTCTGCCTCAATGAAGGACATAAAGTCAGCTTCTACTGTACTACTGGCTGTAATGCAACAGCTCATCACGTCTGAGCAGAGAAGTGAAAGAGCTCTTGAGAAAAGTGCCTAGAGAAATAAATCACATGGTTCTTAGAACAAGGACATGAGTAACAATGTGCCAATGTCATTTTTCTAGCTCATGTGAAAAATTCATAGTGTATACATCAAGTTCAGAGGGAAGTCAGTCTGCCAGGCAGCTGGGTCAAAATATAGGCAGATATGGCAAACAGCATGAGTGACCAGCCCAGAGTGGAGAACACAGGATGGGAGTGAAAGTTAGTATGGAATTAGAAAAAGGTGAAGTCAAATTTGGAGGCTGCTCAGGCAGTCCAATTTTATTTGGGATCCAATCAATAAAAGACTGCTGGGATGTTAAAATGAATTCTAAAATCTGGGAAACTGAAGATACAGATGAAGATAAGGGAGAGCTAGAAAAGTGGATGGGGGGCAATAAAAGAGTATGATGAAGTGATAGGAGCTGGAAGCTGTAGGGGAGAAGTAAAGCAGTGGAGCAGAGATCGCCTCATAGCACAACATTTTTACAGAATATGGTCATCTGATTTTGCTGAAGGCCAGCCATTCTGAATTCATCACACTTATCCTGCACTGCAGGATGAGGAATCTGCACTGCTCCACCCTCCTCAGTGTTCTCTATATTCAGAAACTGAAGTGCTTCAGGATTACTTATGATTTCAATTACAAACAATAACAAAACTGCTTCAGCAGCATCTTCATCAATTTGTACATTTCAGATCAAAACTTGCTCACAGAAGCCATCTTCCTGAGTGGGATGATGGTTGGACATTTCCATGTCTATGCTTATATACAAGTGCTTGAATAGATGAACGCGGAACGTTCAAGCATCTGGAAATTGTTTGATGAACCAGACTTGTGCAGCTCCACAATTCTCTTCCTGATATTTTGGCTGGTTTCTTTTGACTTTCCCATCATGACAAACAAGAAAGCAGATTGTTCCATTTGGGACATTAAAATACAAGTGAATCTCCAGTTAACTCAAGTTTGTCAGTAACCAGCCAGTAGCTTAGCCATGGTGGTGGTGCAGGTTCAGGACCGTCAGCTGGTTCTGTTTGTTGGGAAGAGATCTCACATCTCCAGTGATGGAGGATGACTGGTCGGAGGTCTGTACCTCCTCTGGCTGCGGTGGCCAATAGCAGTGCAAGTCTCACACATAAATATTAATCAAAGACAGAAAGTGAAAGGAGCATTTTTCACTGCAATTATAATAAAATGAGAAGAACAGGAAATGTTGGGAGAAGGTGATATGAAGTATCTTCTATTATTTATCAATTCACATGGAGATTAGTTGAACTGCTGTTAAAGGGAAAATAAAATGTGTTCATTTGGGTGTTTTTGTAGCATTTTTAAAGAAGTTTCATTTTATCATTCAAATGTTTCTTATTTGAAATACTAGCATTGAATGATCTTTTTAAATCTAAATCCTATCTTGCTTTATATATAGACCACAAAGGTCAAGGAGCAGAAAATAGTCAATGATTTTTTTTTTTGTTTTGAACAACCAATACCTCAGTCTTCTGTGAGTTAGAGCACGTGGTTTCCCCTGCTTAGTCTCATATCCCACCCAATCCTTCATTTAATGGTAAGCCGAGTGGACAAGGAAAGGCCTTTCCCACAAATGTGCCTATGATCTCAGCTGAGTCGGAGAGGTCAGGCCACTGGCCCAAGGCGATGGGTTGATAATCCCTGCATGTCAAATCATTTTATGTAACACACATTTTGAGTGTCTGCCACTGGGAATGAGTCACAGAAGGTCCAGAGGGGAAATAAGAGATTCTGTTGCATAACAACAGACCCAAAACAGAGACGTGGAAGGCCTGAGGGAGGGAGGGAGCCAAACTCCTCAAAAGTGTAATCTTTCCTAATTGCTTGCATGCCTCTGCTGTCACAGCAGAGATGAAATGTGCCTGATTACAGTAAAACCTGGTGGGCATGACAACAAACAGAAACAATGATTTTTCGGACTCATTAATAATTTGAGATAATTCCAAATAAACTGTGGTGGTATAAAACTGTGCTGTATGGATGTTGTGGTGTATTTTTATTATTGTTTTTTTCTTTATGCTATATTTGTTTATATATTTATTATGTATTTATTTGCTAACTAAATAGTTATTGCAAACTAAATATTTAGCTACCAAGATAAATATTAGCAGCCAACTTAATATTTAGTTTGAAATTGTGACATTTATAAATTAATGATTAATACACAGAAAACATGACTTGATTTTTATTTATTTTTATTTATGAAAATCCAAACTATGCTGTCCACAAAGCAAATTGCTCCTTGGGGGATAATAAAGTTAATCTGATCTGATCTATATGTAGAATACCCCATCAGCTGGGTGCTTAGTCATTTCAGGTACATTTTTATAATTAGATTTTTTTTTTTTTGCCACCGTCTGACGCCATATGTCATACTAAATTTCTATTTAGTTCAGTTAAGATTTTCAAAATTATCTCTAGAAGAATTAAAACTATTTTTAATCTATTCTTCTAACTCCAAAGTCTATGCATTTAAGTGATACTCCAAAATATAAACGCATCTAAAAACACATTTTTCCAAATTCAGATACCTGGGAATCGTCCGATTAGGAATTTTCCTCTGAATACAAATACAACTCCAGAGCCACAGGTGGACCTTTGGACAGTTCTCTTAACACAGGATAAAATTGATAAAGAACCAACTAATGTTTTCAAATGTAAATGGAACATAAGCAGGTTTAAATAGTTTCTCTGCTCTGTGAGGCAGAAGACTGCAGCTCCAAGGAGGAGCTGCATGGAAATATGCAATTCTTTGTGAGAGCAACTATTTAGGCACTCTGGTTGCCCTGGGAGATGAAAGGATTTCTCAAACATGCATGAAATAAATAAATAATACAATAAATTAAAAAGTGAAAGCAACACTCCAGATACACTGAAAAAAGAAAACAGTTGAACCAACTTAATTGAATTGCTGCAACTGGTAACAAGTAAATTCAATTAAGTTTAACCAACTTAATGTATTAAGTTGGTTTAACTTGAAAGACTTAAGTCAGTCTTAATCAAATAATTTAGTTTACTTCAAATAAAGAAATGAATTAATAAAGGATCTTTTTCTTGGCACATGCAGGTGGCTTTTATTTAAGAGAAGTTAGTTAAACAGGAAATAGAGGGAAGACATGCGGCAAAGGTCATCAGGCCGGGAATCGAACCTGTGACATCTGCATCGAGGACTAAGGTCTGCTTATGTGAGTTGTGCTCTGCAACACCACAAAACCTGGTCGGTACAGGATCTGTCCCAGGTGAAGCTTGCGTCATGACGTCAGACGTAGGACACATTGAAGTTAATCGTTTCAAGTAAAGTCAAAGTAAAAAGTTCCTCTAAGTTAAAAATATGTAACTTTTAAGTTAATTCAACACAAAATAAGTAAGTCGTTATTACTAAACCAAAAGAATTAAGTGGGATTAATAAATAAGTCCATAACATGAACCCAAATACACTTTTTAGATTGTATGTTTCTGATGAGGGAGTAACATAACATGATGCAAAGCTCAAAAAAGTACATTTTACATAATACCTCACCCTTACATATTGACTTTGTCCAAGTTTATTTTGTCTTCTTCTGGAAATAAGCTTCACAGGTCTCTTGTGAATCTGAGCTGGTGGCATACAGATGCTACAGTGTTCTGGCTGATGTGCAGCAAAAACTCAGTGGTTCAGAACGTTCAGCATCTCACTCTCAATTTCAGATCCATTCTGAAACAACTGACAATGTCTAGCAACAGCAGCAGGTGAAGTTAATGTAATGTTTTAAACTAACACAATATCTGAGCGGGAAATAAAGACAATTGAGATGAACAACTCAGCTTTTGACTCAAGAAATTTGAAACTCAAAAATATGAGATGCAACAATTTCCAGAACAATTAAAAATTAAACTTCTGATTCAACCAAAGTGTTTGATTTTTCTTTGTGATACATACTAAGAGAATACGTGTTTTTTTTCTTTGCCATCTAAGTATTCATCATGTAACCAAATGTTAATATAAATGTTAAAGGAGCAACAGTGTAGATATTAAAAGAACAAATGGTAACATTTCAACCCTGAAATTAGAACTACAAAAAGAGCAAGTCAATTTTATGTACAAATGACTGTAAAACATTATTAACTACAAATTGTTACTTTGTCATCCCAGCTGCAGTACTAATTCCACACCACAAGTTAATAAACTGAACTAATCATTTACAACTCTTCAGTTCTACCAAAAGCATCTAGCCTGGTTCCTTCTTCTACAAGAAATACTGATTTATTTCACAGATTAAAATTACAAAAAAAAATCATACATTTTTACCACTAAGTCTATAAAATATTAAAAAAGTAGACTTAAGTAATCACAAACTCAGTGGAACCTAAAGGAATCCAGGTGCCTTTAAAGTTCAATCAAAACGTCGAGTTAGCCACCCAACAACCTTTCAGCTATTGCTCTCCTACAGAACCTGGGCTCACTATAAACTATTTTAATGTTGTCTCAACTAACCACAATTTCTCTGGATAGGTGGCAGAAAAACAATTACATTCGTTTTTGCTTTTAAATAAAAAGAAAATATTTGTGTGACCCTCTAGCACTTTCCACATGATGAATTTGGCCCATGTGGTAAAAAGTTGACACCACTAGAGGTTAACAGCTGCTACTCAACGTGCAGAGCAAAATCTAAACATATGCCATGCTGACAACCTCCAAACAAACACAGCTAAACTAAAAACTCGGGTTTAAATAAAATGTGTATGAGTGAAAACGTAACGCTCAGTGTATCACTTTCATCTGCTTGTACCAATGATAATGTGTTGGGTTATTCTGATTGCTAATCTGAAGGAAATGAAAGCATTTCCATACCGTCCATACAACTGTAGGAATTTCCCCAAATTTAAAGTCAAACGTAGCTCTACGTGTTAGTGTGACAGTTTCAGTTGACATTTAAGTTAACCGGGGACGATACACAGCTGTTATATGGTTATTATGAGAGTAAAGTGTTGAAAGTTGGTTGGTTTTGTCATTTTTTTAGCAAACGGACAAGGAAGAGGTGAACAACTTTGACAGAGAGCTTACCTGGACTTTTAAGATTATATTTATTTTCCATGGTGGCAGACACGACGTATTATGCTTAATCTTGAAGTTCGTTAGAGAGTCCGCGGTCAACTCGTTCCAACACTAACTTCCTAGGCTACCTGGAATGAAGAACCCGGCTAGCTTGCTTTCTGGCTGAGATGCGCCGACAGCGGGAGGTCTTCCTCAGCGTACGGGCTCCGGATGCAGCAGCTTAGCGGACGTTTGCATACAGTTTCGTATCAAAATCAGAAGACGCCGTCTCTTAAGTTTTCTGACGTTTCAATATCGAAACACTCAGTTTAACATTTTTAGCGTGACGTCATTTTGTCGAACGTAAACAGGAAGTGATTGTGAATCCTTATTCTCTATTATTTTGCAACTGCCAAACCAACTAAACGATGCATTACCGCCACCTATTGAGCTGGAGTGTGTTTCACTTTTCCGCAGTCTTTGTTACAGCCTTAAACCAAATTGTATTTAACTGATCTCACTCTAATATTCTACACACGATTACCCCATTATGGTAATGTGGCAAACTGAGTGTATTACAAATTCATTAAAAATAGAAAAAAAAAAACAAAAAAAAAACACATTTACAAAAAAATATTCACAACCTTTGATTAATACTTTACTGGTTCATCTATTTTGAATATAATGCCACAAGACTAGCTCACCTAACGTACCTTGAGCAGTCAAAGGGCAAAAGTCCATTCTAGACAGGTCGCTAATCCATCACCGGGCAACACACTGATGAACAACCATCCACACACAGAGACACATACACGAACAGATGTGCACACACACAATGAGAATTTAGAGACTTAGCAGCTTGTCTGTTTTTGGACTGTGGGAGGAAACCGGAGTATCCGGAGAGTTTGCATTTAAACTTCATGCAGAAAGATACCAGGCCAGGTTTCTAACCCAGGTCCTGTTTGCTTCAAGGCAACAATGCTACTTCACAGTCCTGAAATAATAGCAAATCACTCAGTCAGGTTTATTCATGTACTGTGTACAACACAGAGAGCTTATAGGATAATCAATAATGAAGCAGTTCTGGATGAAAAGCTCTGCGAGGCAGAGGCAACACATGAGTTTTATACCAAGGATAAGGGATTCAAAACAAGGGAGAGTCAGTCTGGTTTTCATGCAGCTGTAGGAAAACAACTCCCAACCATGTACATGTAACCCAAATAACTTTATCCAGTGGGAATATACAAGAAATTTGAATAAACATATAGCAATATAACTAGCAGATATTACCTCATAATAATAACCCACTACACTGCCCATGAGACTTGAACACCTGTCCACAGGTATGCTGGTCCACTCCTCATCTACAAACTGTTCCATTTGTCTCCAGTTTGAATGGTGCCATCTGTGGACGGAATGTTTCAGCTCCTTCTGCAGATATTTAATAGAATGTAGAGAGTTAGGGGAAGTACAATTATTTGTCCAGACTCGATGCCACATGTCAACATGATGTCCTGAGTTTGATGTCATGAGTGTGTAGGTCAGATGATATTTGGAGCAAAACCAACAGAATGTTCAAGGTTACATTTGGGCCATTACTTTCAGAATCAAGAAAATACCCCCACTATAATGACCTCATCACTCTAACACTAAATCAGATGAGAAATCTGAGAACAGATATAAAAACTGTGTAAGGTCCTGGTGGAGAGTGCAAAACAACAAACANTTACCAGGAAAACATTTTCATGTTATGATCAACAAAAAGTTGTTTTAATTAGAAAAAGGGGTTTCTGAGGATCTGACATAACCAGTTCTGTCTGTGTGATTCTTTGAAGTAGACTCAGTGTTTTGCACTTTTCAATTCCTGCTACTAATAATAATTTGATGTTGATTTGTTAAATGATTAAGTATTTCCTAATCTGTAAAGCTGATACCAAAATATAACTTCAAAAGATCCTCAACATTCCTGTTTGTCATACAATTACCTTCTTCAATCTTCTAAAATTTCAACTTTATTCTGGTAATATTAACACTTTATTCTCATATTATTTTGGCTTTATTGTTGCATTATTATGACTGTATTCTCAGAATTAAAATCGCAGCCAGACTGTTATATTCTGTTTAGAGTTGACCTGAATTGACAGTCAAATGGCCGCCCTACCTGGGTTGACATCACTCTGAACTATGGAAACGACGAAGTACATTAGTGGAAAAAACACAGATTTTCCAAAACATGATCTTCAAATTCCAAAAATTTGATTAATTAATAAAACTGATTTATCGCCCAGCTCTAGTTAAAAATAAAATAATCTGGCAGTGGAACTAGTAATTTTTTAAATTCAGTGTTGAGAAATTATTGATCACTATATTTGTTTTTGCTGTGTAGAAAATCAGACGTGCGCTTGCCAACTGCTGCTGCTGCTAGTCTGAAGGAGCTGACTGGAATCAGGTTTCTAAATGGAATACGTAGGATTTAGTTTCAGTTCCGGTCTCTAATTAGTTCTAATTACTCGTGTTGGATCAGGATTATCTGGGTTATAAACTGAAGATCAATATGAAGGAATTAATGACCTAAAACGAGCCTTTATGTCTTGATAAAAAGCTACTTTTAAGTTCCTGTCAGGGAAGCAAAGTCAGGAAGAAAGAAAGGGCCAAAAGTTGATTTAAGTGCAACAAGTTTCTGAAGCTCTTAGTCGTCATTTCAAGTCTACTAAGATATTTGCATTAGAAGTGAGACAAAAATAAATGGTAAGAATTTGTGTTTTTGCAGTGTAGGAGCTCACTGCTAACTGCTGCTGCTAGCAGTTTGCTAACTGCTGCTGCTAGTCTGGAGGGGCTGAGTGGAATAGTAGTGCTAAAAATAATGTGTTGGTTTTAACTCGGGTTCAGGAATCTAATTAGAGTTAATTAGTCGCGTTTTAACTGGATCATCCTGGTTGTAAACTCAAGATCAGTTGGACTTCTGAATGGCTCAATAAAATCAGAAGGTTTTGGAGTGTCCTAGTCAAAGTCTACACAAGTCAAGTTGTGGTCCAAGCAGCAACTAGATGTGTTTTCCTCTTGTGTTTCCTGTTCTAAGGTCTTTTTTTATTTTTTTTTTTATTTTTGCTTTTGATTTAGTTTCCCATAAAGCCAAAGACAAACATCTAAACGTGTGCAGATACTTTTTTTTATTATTTCTGATGAATACCTGTGCAGGAACTCACCTGAATGCCCCTGAACACTCCTCCTGCTGATAAGAGGACATTCCCCTTACGTGACAGGTGAAACCCATGTTGACTAAATGCTACCCGACTGTCGCACCGTAACTGGATCAGGGCTCACGCAGCTTTCCTTTTGATCCTGAAACAAAAACAGAATCACCTTGGCTTCTTAATTTAGAAACAAAGCTGCGATATGCAGCTGCGATATGCAGCTGCAATATGCGGCTGCGAAACTCCGTGGGCGTCGCAGAATATTTCTCTGGAATGCAGTCGGGTCGGGCTGGGCAGATGTTTACGATTGCATACGTGCTTTCTGCAGCTTTTGGCACTTCAAAAACATTTTCACCCGCAGATGTGCCCACATACTGTCACAAATGCTTCACTGATAACCTCATTTAGAACACTGGTGTCCAAATGCAGCTCGGGGGCCACTGGTGGCCCTTGGAATAAGTTTGTGTGGCCCTGACTGCAGCTGAAGAATGATGCAAACTGGTCCCTCTGGCATTTGGAGTTGATGCAAACACCTTTTGTAACTGTTTTAGAAGATTTTTACATCTTAAATGAAAAATGTACAAAAACAAAGAGTTTCTCTTATTAATATTTTTATATTTTCCTTTTATTTTTATTTCATAGAAAATTATGCCACAAATATTCAGCAACTTTTTACTCATAAATAAACTTGGGATAAACTCAACGAAGATTTTAAAAGAGTTTCTTTTGTTGCTGTTGCTAGAAATAACCAAGAACATTTTATAGACCAACAAGCAGGTAAATATTTGGCCCAAAAAGTAAAATAATTGTAAAACGAAATTAAGGCAAATGCAACGCTAATGTTGGTTTTGTTCAAATATTGCTTGTTTAATTCATTGTTATATGGATGAATAACATTTTACTCAGAAACACACTTGGGATACACTGCAAAAACACAAAATCTTACCAAGTATTTTTGTATAGTTTCTAGTGCAAGTGTCTTAGTACACTTTAAAAAGTAAGTGTAAATTTAAGTGACTTTTCAATAAGAAACAGGAGCTTGTTTTAAGGTAATAATTCCTTAATATTGATGAAGAAGTACTAGTTCTACTGGCTGATTCTTTTCACTTATACCAAAACATTTTTCCTTTCTGGACTGAAAAAGTCTGATTGTGAAGCTAGTACTTTAAATACAATCTATATTCAAGAATTTCTGACTTAAAACAAGCTCTTGTAGTTTGCTGGAAAAGTTACTTTTAAGTTAGCTTTGTCGGTTTTTTAAGTGTACTAAAATATTTGTATTAGAAACTAGACAAAAATATTTCCTAACCAGCTTTAGTATTAGCCACCATTTTGTGTCTTTATAGTGTAAAGCTGCCAAAAACTAATCATTGTCACACTGAGCCAGGCTCTGGTTCTGCTGCAGGTTTTCTTCCTGTTTTTTTCCCATGTAATAAGTGAAATAATCTTCCAGTGACACTAGTATTTCTTATCAATATTCAAGAATTATGTAAACCAAGCTTGTACATCTTACTGAAAAAACCTTGTAAGTTATTTTAAGCGTACTAAGATTTGTATCAGAAACTACTGAAAATATTTGGAAAGATTTTATGTTTTTTCAGTGCCCTGCACATGACTATCTCCACGGTAGAGGCAGCATCATCCTGTGGGGTAGAAGGTAAAATTAAAGGAGCAAAATATCAGGAAATCCTGGAGGACCAATTATTTCCATCTGCAAGACAACTTTGGCCTTAGACAACAAGGTGGAGGTTCTGGAGTGGCTTAGTCAAAGTCCAGACCTGTTCACAACTGCTTTCTATCAAACTGCAGCAGTTTAGCAGGAAGAATGGAGGGAAACCGCAGCATCCTGACTGGAAAACCAAAGGTGCATTTACTAAATACTGACTTGAAGGGTGTGAATATTTATTCAATTTCTTATTAAATGTCACATATTTTTAACTGGGTGTCTTTATTTTGGCAGAAATCAGTTCTCACTGTGCATTAAAGTTTGTTTGTTTGTTTTTTTTTGTCAAAAAAGCTAACTTTTGTTCATTATGACTGATTTGAAAACACAATAAAAACAAAAAAACATCCCAGGGTGTGAATAATTCTTATGGTCACTATATCACTGAAGAGTGCTGTCCAAGTTTTAGAGCTGAAATCAGAGGAGAAAAAACACCAAAATTCTGTAAAAAGAGCTTCAATGGGAGGGA